CATTAATCAGGCCAATTATGAAGTCTCAAAATCAAACTCTCTAGCGCCACCACTTGTCCAAACTTTCACGTATGTTTATCATCATAACTTTTGAACCGAATGGGCTACAATCAAAATTCTTTTTTCCTCTGATTCCTTGGCTCAGTCCGATTCAACCCCACCCTATGACGTCATTTTCCGTCATGAATTTTTTCGCGCTATTTTTAATTTTTCGAAAAACCTATTTGATCGAACTCGTCCTAGGCCGTGTCTCCGATTTTCACCAAAATTGAATCACATGATCTACAGACCATGCCAACCAAAAGTTATGGAATTCAAGTTGATTAGACCAACAGTTTTTGTTTAACTTGCGAACTAATTTAACGTAGAACTTGCGAAAATGGACTTGAGGCGATATCTCTGTAACGCATTCACCGATTCACACCAAACTTGGTGTGTGTTATGACAACTAGGGTCTAAGGTTAATTGCGGAGTTTCGGCGCACTGCCCCCTAGTGGTCCGGAGATACTAAAAACTTGCTTTTTGGCTTATAACGTCTCAACCTTTCGTCCGAAACTCATGAAACTGAACTCATTACATTCGGCAGAGCATGCCGAGTCGAATGATGTCTGATTTTCACAGGTCAGCCATTTTGGGCGTCGCCCATTTTGATTTTTGACCAAAAATGCTATATTTTACCAACACATTCACATATCATTACAAAACATGGTATGCATCTTCAACCCCATGCCCTGAAAGTACTCAAAAACGTCTGGAGCAGCGCCACCTTATGGCCAATAGTGCTTGGCCCCTTAATTGCTGCTTGCAGCTATATTTATTATTATTATTCTTCTTCTTCTTCTTCTTCTTCCGTTTCTTCCGCCGGATTTGAATGGCAGCCCATATAGGCGTATGCGGGAAAGTTGTATAATTTGGCACAATGATAGAGGCCAGTATTAACATTAATCAGGCCAATTATGAAGTCTCAAAATCAAACTCTCTAGCGCCACCACTTGTCCAAACTTTCACGTATGTTTATCATCATAACTTTTGAACCGAATGGGCTACAATCAAAATTCTTTTTTCCTCTGATTCCTTGGCTCAGTCCAATTCAAACGCACCCTATGACGTCATTTTCCGTCATGACTTTTTTCGCGCTATTTTAAATTTTTCGCAAAACCTATTTGATCGAACTCGTCCTAGGCCGTGTCTCCGATTTTCACCAAAATTTAATCACATGATCTACAGACCAAGCCAACCAAAAGTTATGGAATTCAAGTTGATTAGACCAACCGTTTTCGTTTAACTTGCGAACTAATTTAACGTAGAACTTGCAAAAATGGACTTGAGGCGATATCTCTGTAACGCATTCACCGATTCACACCAAACTTGGTGAGTGTTATGACAACTAGGGTCTAAGGTTAATTGCGGAGTTTCGGCGCACTGCCCCCTAGTGGTCCGGAGATACTAAAAACTTGCTTTTTGGCTTATAACGTCTCAACCTTTTGTCTGAAACTCATGAAACTGGTCTCATTACATTCGGCAGAGCATGCCGAGTCGAATGATGTCTGATTTTCACAGGTCAGCCATTTAGGGCGTCGCCCATTTTGATTTTTGGCCAAAAATGCTATATTTTACCAACACATTCACATATCATTACAAAACATGGTATGCATCTTCAACCCCATGCCCTGAAAGTACTCAAAAACGTCTGGAGCAGCGCCACCTTATGGCCAATAGTGCTTGGCCCCTTAATTGCTGCTTGCAGCTATATTTATTATTATTATTATTATTATTATTATTATTCTTCTTCTTCTTCTTCTTCCGTTTCTTCCGCCGGATTTGAATGGCAGCCCATATAGGCGTATGCGGGAAAGTTGTATAATTTGGCACAATGATAGAGGCCAGTATTAACATTAATCAGGCCAATTATGAAGTCTCAAAATCAAACTCTCTAGCGCCACCACTTGTCCAAACTTTCACGTATGTTTATCATCATAACTTTTGAACCGAATGGGCTACAATCAAAATTCTTTTTTTCTCTGATTCCTTGGCTCAGTCCGATTCAAACCCACCCTATGACGTCATTTTCCGTCATGACTTTTTTCGCGCTATTTTAAATTTTTCGAAAAACATATTTGATCGAACTCGTCCTAGGCCGTGTCTCAGATTTTCACCAAAATTGAATCACATGATCTACAGACCATGCCAACCAAAAGTTATGGAATTCAAGTTGATTTGACCAACCGTTTTTGTGTAACTTGCAATCAAATTTTACGTAGAACTTGTGAAAATGGACTTGAGACGATATCTCCGTAACGCATTCACCGATTCACACCAAACTTGGTGTGTGTTATGACAACTAGGTTCTGAGGTTATATGCAGAGTTTCGGCGCACTGCCCCCTAGTGGTCCGGAGATACAAAAAACTTGCTTTTTGGCTTATAACGTCTCAACCTTTCGTCCCAAACTCATAAAACTGGTCTCATTACATCCGGCAGAGCATGCCGAGTCGAATGATGTCTGATTTTCACAGGTCAGCCATTTTGGGCGTCGCCCATTTCGATTTTTGGCCAAAAATGCTATATTTTACCAACACATTCACATATAATTACAAAACATGGTATGCATCTTCAACCCCATGCCCTGAAAGTACTCAAAAACGTCTGGAGCAGCGCCACCTTATGGCCAATAGTGCTTGGCCCCTTAATTGCTGCTTGCAGCTATATTTATTATTATTATTATTATTATTCTTCTTCTTCTTCTTCCGTTTCTTCCGCCGGATTTGAATGGCAGCCCATATAGGCGTATGCGGGAAAGTTGTATAATTTGGCACAATGATAGAGGCCAGTATTAACATTAATCAGGCCAGTTATGAAGTCTCAAAATCAAACTCTCTAGCGCCACCACTTGTCCAAACTTTCACATACGTTTATCATCATAACTTTTGAACCGAATGGGCTACAATCAAAATTCTTTTTTCCTCTGATTCCTTGGCTCAGTCCGATTCAAACCCACCCTATGACGTCATTTTCCGTCATGAATTTTTTCGCGCTATTTTAAATTATTCGATAAACCTATTTGATCGAACTCGTCCTAGGCCGTGTCTCCGATTTTCACCAAAATTGAATCACATGATCTACAGACCATGCCAACCAAAAGTTATGGAATTCAAGTTGATTAGACCAACCGTTTTTGTTTAACTTGCGATCAAATTTAACAAAGAACTTGCGAAAATGGACTTGAGAAGATATCTCCATAACGCATTTACCGATTCACACCAAACTTGGTGTGTGTTATGACGCCTAGGGTCTGAGGTTACATGCTGAGTTTCGGCGCACTGCCCCCTAGTGGTCCGGAGATACAAAAAAATTGATTTTTGGCTTATAACGTCTCAACCTTTCGTCCGAAACTCATGAAACTGGTCTCATTACATCCGGCAGAGCATGCCGAGTCGATTGATGTCTGATTTTCACAGGTCAGCCATTTTGGGCGTCGCCCATTTCGATTTTTGGCCAAAAATGTTATATTTTACCAACACATTCACATATCATTACAAAACATGGTATGCATCTTCAACCCCATGCCCTGAAAGTACTCAAAAACGTCTGGAGCAGCGCCACCTTATGGCCAATAGTGCTTGGCCCCTTAATTGCTGCTTGCAGCTATATTTATTATTATTCTTCTTCTTCTGTTTCTTCCGCCGGATTTGAATGGCAGCCCATATAGGCGTATGCGGGAAAGTTGTATAATTTGGCACAATGATAGAGGCCAGTATTAACATTAATCAGGCCAAATATGAAGTCTCAAAATCAAACTCTCTAGCGCCACCACTTGTCCAAACTTTCACGTATGTTTATCATCATAACTTTTGAACCGAATGGGCTACAATAAAAATTCTTTTTTCCTCTGATTCCTTGGCTCAGTCCGATTCAAACCCACCCTATGACGTCATTTTCCGTCATGAATTTTTTCGCGCTATTTTAAATTCTTCGAAAAACCTATTTGATCGAACTCGTCCTAGGCCGTGTCTCCGATTTTCACCTAAATTGAATCACATGATCTACAGACCATGCCAACCAAAAGTTATGGAATTCATGTTGATTAGACCAACCGTTTTTGTTTAACTTACGAACTAATTTAACGTAGAACTTGCGAAAATGGACTTGAGGCGATATCTCTGTAATGCATTCACCGATTCACACCAAACTTGGTGTGTGTTATGACAACTAGGGTCTAAGGTTAATTGTGGAGTTTCGGCGCACTGCCCCCTAGTGGTCCGGAGATACTAAAAACTTGCTTTTTGGCTTATAACGTCTTAACCTTTCGTCCGAAACTCATGAAACTGGTCTCATTACATCCGGCAGAGCATGCCGAGTCGAATGATGTCTGATTTTTACAGGTCAGCCATTTTGGGCGTCGCCCATTTTGATTTTTGGCCAAAAATGCTATATTTTACCAACACATTCACATATCATTACAAAACATGGTATGCATCTTCAACCCCATGCCCTGAAAGTACTCAAAAACGTCTGCAGCAGCGCCACCTTATGGCCAATAGTGCTTGGCCCCTTAATTGCTGCTTGCAGCTATATTTTCATTTGAAACTACATAATATAAAAAGCAGTTGTTTAATATTTGTATAATTATTTAATAGTTTTTTTTTTTTACATTTAATAAATGCTTCCTTGATGAACAGAATAATGTAAAACATAGAATTAACATGTTAATGCGTCAACACATGCACTCTGGTGCTCACGGTAAACTGAGTTTGATTCTCGCATCAAGGTACTTTGGCGATCCTTTCTCTCTCTCTCTGCCCCCCATCCTTTCCTGCCGATACTCTCTACTGTCCTATCCATTAAAGGTGAAAAGCCCGGAAAAAACAGAGAATAATAATAAAATAAAAAAAACTTTTCAAAAAAAATAAATAAATAAAAAAAACTTGACCGGTAGTGTTAATATTTAAAAATGTAGCATGTTGAACTTTTGTGAATTAATGCTGGTGTTACAGTTTCTCACCCCAGGCCCGGGATGCGCTGACACTGACCCGCCATCCCAGCAATCAGATTACTGTGCTGCATCTTCACTCCTTTAGGATTCCCTGTAGAGCCACTAGTGTACATCACCACTGCCAGATCAGACGCACTCGGCCTCTCGTACTCTACACTTACTGATTCACAGACAGGCAGACAGTCAGATAAACAAAGTGTGTATCAGCTTGTAAACCAGTTCAGATTGGCTGCAAGTAATTGATTTGCATGCTGCTCACAGTTCTCTGGCTTCGCCCCGAGCTCTGTAACTTCCTGCATGCTGTGGATGATGAGGGATTGTGGGTAATCAGCTTGATGTACCTCACCACTGCCTACATAGATAACATGCTGCAACCCAGAGACTGCAAACAAAACATTCTGCGATAGAGAGAAGCTTTCAGTCAGATCACACAGATACGCAGAGAAACACGGCCGTGGCTGTTTGTGGGTTTGTGTACCTTCAGTTTGCTTTGCAGCAGTTCTGTGCTGGTGATGAGATGAGTGGCGCCACATTGATTGAGCCCATAAGCAACAGCATCTTCACCCAGAGTCGCATACAGAGTCACCACTGCAGACACACATACAGTATTGATGGTTGCTGACATTGTGATACTTTATAAAGAATGGCTTTGTTTGATGATACATTATTTACGTTGATCTAAAAACTTAATAGAGTAAAATGGACTTTGATGTTGTTCTTTCATTCCTTTAAACCTGTTTTAGCACATTTTGCAATCCATTTTTAATCAATTTTATTATTCGTTGTTGTTGTTTTTATTTCTTATACTTGATGTTTCTTTTGTTTTTGTTCCAGAAAAGCCCTTTGAATTACTATTGTGTCTGAAATGTGCTGTATGAGTAAACTTGCCTTGCCGTGATATTTGGTTCATGCTTGTGAAGCACTTTGAGCTGCATTTCATGTTTGAATTGTGTTTTCCAATTAAAATTAATATTCTTATTTTTATTGAAACAGAAGAAACAAGAAGTAATAAAAATACTAAAGTACTTGACAAAAACTACAATTGTGAAAAAAGTGAAATCTTAAAGCTAATGCAAAAACAATATATACAATATTTAAAGAATAATATATTTATATTGATTAACTAATGCTGAAACACAACTAAAGTAGATAAAACGTACCTCTTTAGCTTGGCTTTTTAATAATATTTTAATAGTCCTTTGTACTGTTACGTGTTTTTTTTTTGTCGTTTCTCTTGTCTTATTCTTAAGTTTTTATATTCTTATTTTTTATTATACTTTTTCTTACGTACTGTACTTTGGTCTGTCTTGCGGCTGTTAAATGTGCTCTATAAATAAATTAACTTGAACTAGATGACGACAGAAATTATACAAAAAGCAATGTTATCATTAAGTAACATTAATAAAGCAAATTTGATTAAATTCCATATACATTTTTTTTTTAATCTGAGCTCAATATATTTTTTTATCCATAGCCATATCACCATGCAGCCCAAGACCAGTTACTTACTGAAGCGAAGCAGGGTTAAGCCTGGTCAGTATCTGGATGGGAGACCACATGAGAAAACTAGGTTGTTGTTGGAAGTGGTGTTAGTGAGGAGAGCAGGGGGTGCTCAACCTGCGGTCTGTGTGGGTCCTAATGCCTCAGTGTAGTAAAGGGTACACTGAACCAGGGGTTCTCAAAATTTTCAGCCTGCGACCACTAAAATAACACCAGTTACTCGCGACCCCATCTATGCTCGGAGGTGGTTATAAGCATGCGAACATTGCACACAATGGTGCACACACACCAATAGGATCTATATAAACAAGCTTATTGGTGACACAAAAAAGTGCAACAGTAATTTGATTTAATTTTGGAGACTTGAAGCCACTTGGAGATCATCCTCCTTGTCCATTTATGGCCTTTATTTTTATTGTATGCGAGTGCCATAAAGGTGTCATAGTTTAACATTGTAACGCCAAAACAATCTGCTGCAACTAAAGCTATTGCTGTGATGTTAATCTAGCATAATAACCCCAAGGGGTCACAATCCAATGAAAATTATTATATTCTGCAGGTTATGGATAAAATATGATAGTTCTAATAGTTTAATAAAATATGAGATTCTTGTAAATCACCAAGTGACCCCCCCCCCCCCCTTATTGTCTCGCGACCCCCAATTTGAGAACTACTGCACTATACTGTCAGTGAGCACCGTCTTTCAGTTGAGACGCTAAACCGAGGTCCTGACTCTCTGTGGTCATAAAAATAAAAAATAAAAAAAATCACATGGCACTACTTGTAAAGAGTAGGGGTGCAAACCCGGTGTTCTGGCCAAATTCCCTTCATCGGCCCTTACTGATCATGACTTCCCAATCTTTCCCATCCACCGAAGTGGCTCACTGTCTTTCAGCTCCACCTATAGCTGGTGTGTGCTAAGCAAAAGGCACTGTTGTCCTGTGGCTGCCGTCTCATCATCCAAGTGGATGCTGTACACTGGTGGTGGTGTGATTGTAAAGCGCTTTGGGTGTATGGCCATACTTGATAAATACGATATATAAAAACACACATTACATGACATAATTTTTAAGTTATAATAGGAGATGAACTACATTTTTGTTATTATTTTTCACTTTTTGTACAGATTTTTTATTTCGTCAATTATTTTGTTTCTAAATGATGTTTTTGATGCAGTGCTAAAACAGTCTGAATGAATGATTCAATGAGTCACTAATAAAAAAGCAAGTTTGTTTGTTTGCAAGTTAATGATTTAATATTCTAAACGATTCTTGTTCCAAGTGTGCCTGACAAGATTTTTAGTAGTGCGTGTCTTCTGTAAATGATGTACAAGTATATGATAGTTTTGATTCATCTTGATTGAGCAGTGTTTAGAGAAGAAGCTGTGTTGGTATTACATGGGTAGTTGCGTCTGAAGCAGGCCTGCGCTGCGATCATCCATTCTGCCCGTGTTTCACAGAAGATGGCAATGGTTTGCCGTGGCTTTTGACCCAGAGCTGCCAGACCGCTGCCAAAAGACTCCACTGCTTGGTCGACGGCTTCATAGCTCATCCAGCTGTAGTTCCCCAAGACCAGCTAGAAACAAATACAAATACTCCAAATCAGCTGTTGCCAACAGCTTTCAGAGAGACCATTTGTCTGTTTGGTCAGCTAGGTCGGTTTTTAAATACCATGTCTCTATACCTACTGTGTAGTTGTGTGCCAGATCCTCATTTGTTGATTGCATTTGTTTATGCACATGCCCTTCTTCAAATATCCTCATTCTTTTATATTGCGCAAAAAAAAAGTGCCAAACAGAATCTTAAGACAACTTTTCTCTCACTATACTGATTCAGAATTCAAGTCAATGAGTCAAACCCTGACTCCACAATGATAGTCTCTTATTTCAATACTGAAGGAATAAACCATTTAGAACAAATCAGTCAATGAAGGAATTAATAAACGTCTCATAAATGTTGTCAGGTCTCAGAATCAAGCCAAAACACAACCAAATAGAATGAATAATAGCCTATATAATAATTACCACATAGCCAATTTCAACCACGACATGTTTTAATTTTCCTATATTTTTAAACTTTACACAAAAAACATTCATATGTGCGTATTTAATTATTTATTATGTTGTTTTATTAAAATGTAAAAAATATTAAATTTATTATTTTTTTATTTTATTAAAATTTAAGTTTGGAACTTTGGCAACATTGTGTTTTGGCAGTTTAAATTGCATGTTTAATTTCAGATATTTTTTTCATCATATTTCTATATTTAATATTTTTTTATTTAGAATGTTTTTACATTTTTAAATATTAAATTTCATAACCTTATTTATGCAGTTGACACAGCATTAAAAATACATCATAATCTCTGATAAGTACAGTAATTCTTTTTTTTAAAGATTTTTTGTTAAAATATTTTGTAATTAAATGTATTGAATAAATGTAAGAATCTACTGTACATGTACAATGATTAGAAAGAATAAAAGTTTTTAAAAATGCTGCAAATATATACCAAAAAATCTGTTGTTGCTTACAGCTTTTAGAGCAATGTCTCAAACTCAATTCCTGGGGGCTGTTCCATGAATCAAGCTTAGAGGAGAATATATAATATATATATATATATATATATATATATATATATATATATATATATATATATATATATATATATATACACACACATACACATACATACATACATACATACATACATACATACATACACACCAAACATCTTTTAGGACAGAACAGTCTATTGATCTTCAACTTACTGTTATGGAAAAAATTTAAGCGTGGACGTTTAGTCAGGCTCATTGAAGTCAGGCTTTTGCTTTAATCCCTGTTTTTTAAACCAGTTTTATAAAACAGCCCCCTGAAGGGCCGAAGCTCTGCATAGTTTAGTTCCAACCACCTCCAACTCACACCTGCTTAGTAGTCTCTAGTAGTCTTGAACACCTTGATTAGTTTGATCAAGCTGCAGCCCTCCAGAAGTTTGAGTCCCATGTTTTAGAGTGTTTTATCCTATAATTGCCTTCATTTGTGGTCCACCTCCCTGACTGTGATAATCCTCAACAATTAACCCCATACTGAAACTTAGTCAGTCAATAAATATACCTTTTTGAAGATCTTCCCATTGGGTTGTTTTTCTTCTTCTTCGCTAAGCACCTCTCTGGTGCCCAAACAGGGTGCCTGATTGAAACTCTTCACAGCATGTACAAAAAGTTTGTCCAGAGTGTCCACTCCTTCAAAGCCCTGCGTAACCAGTGCATCGATGCTTTCAACCGCCCGATACGGCCCTTCTGGACGTCCACTTATACTCCTCGCTCTCTCACACTGAGGCAACATGACCTGCACACACAACACACACAGACCAACATATTTTCATTTGATCAATCATCAATCATTGAGGACGGAAATAGTAAAAACACATGATCAGGAACTTCAATCCTCTCTTTGTGTCCAGAATTAGAGCAGAAACCCCTGTGGGTGACTGAGAAGACACAGAAAAACTGTTTTCTATTGGTTAGACAAAAAGTAATTGTCAAAAAGAGGAAAACAGGAAGAGTAAGAAAATTTAGATGCATGTGCGTGTGATTGAATGGCTGATTTAGCAAGTACTTCACCACAAACCAACTGCTAACACTCAACAAACCCTTAGGAAGCATCAAGAAACATCCGTGTTTGTAGGCAGTGCACTATCAGACTAAATATTTATTCTAAGCAACACAGATACACACACATACACAGAGTGACATCAGATCAAACACAAAGTGGATGTGTAGGTTGTTTGCGTGGCAAAATAATCATTAATTTCAACAGAGAGGTAAAATTTTTACTTTTTAATTTTTTGTACAGTTGAAGTCAAAATTATTACTTACTGTAATAATAATTATTATTATTTACTGTCATCATGGAAAAGATCAAATAAATCAGTCATTAGAAAAGAGTTATTGAAACTATTATGTTTAGAAATGTGCTAAAAAAATCTTCTCTCCGTTAACAGAAATTGGGGAAAAAATAAACAGGGGACAAATAATTCAGGGGGTTTAATACTTCAGACTTTAACTGTAGTTAGGACAGAAAAAGCCACTGAAACTTGTTTCAGAAGCACAAGTTCAATTATCCTGATGATTGTTTGGCTGTGAATGAACAAATTACTATTATTGAGACCACCGTTTCAAACAGATGACATCATAGTTTAAGGAGGGATTCGAGCGACTGCACGTTCAGGAAGTCAGATGTTGACCCACTTAAACATGTGGAAAAACTGTCTAAAACACTGAGGCATCTGTCAAGCAAACTCGCATCCTGTGTGGAGTAATCACATTTTTCTAACGTGAAAAGGTAGATGAATCAGAAAATTATGTCATCAGGTTGTCTGGTCTGTTTTTGAGCAATATATGATACCATACAGAAATTGGGGCTTGGTAGATTTTTTTTTTTTTCAAAAAGTATTTTTTAAAAGAAAATTGTAACTCTGCTAATATAGCAAACTTTTTTTTAGATTTAACAATTGCTGAGGAAAAATGCATCAAAAAATGTAAACTTTTTTCAACATAGACAATAATAACTAATGTTTCTTGATCTATTTAATCTTAAATGTTTCTAAAACTGTGTGAATGATTTCTGAAGAACATTAATACTACTGAATGTATGGAAAAAGAGAAAGTATGGCTACTGAAAGATCAGTTTTTTTTATATAACAGGAATAAATTATAATTTTTTTAAAATACACAGAAACACTGAAAACAGGAGAGACTTCCTTAAACCCCAAACCAGAACAGAATGATAAATGTTTTTAAATAGCCACATATAAGAGTAGTATTTTATTTAAAACGCCAATTTTAGCATCAGTTAAAGTATTTAACATTAACAATAAACAACACTCCTACAGCTTCCTTCTTTAAGCTCTTCTTTAAATAGCAAATACTGTTTCAATGTACAAATGCTAATAAACTGTAACATGAAACATTTAAGCATTATCAGAGAATTATAAACAGTGTGAGCATACAGTATATTTCTCATAGTGTTGACTAAAAACTATTTTATTTGTACGTGCACTGAATGTAAATTTTGACAAAAATTAACGGTGTCATCTGTATTTTTTACTTCATTTTATGAATAATACATACTATTATACTTCATATATAAAACATAAGATACATTTACTAAAGTAATAACTATTCATCCAAAAGTGTTAAGGTAAAAAAAAAATGACTTAACATACACAAGAGTTTTAGTTATATCTGATCAATAGATCTCAAATACAAATAGCTTTTATTTCCAGTAATATCAACAACAACTGTTTAGACATGCAGTTGACATGGTGTTTACAGTAAACACTTCAAGTCTCTCCAAACACATCCTCACTGCAGATACACAGCATTAAATCCGAGATAGAAAGCATCTTCATTTAGTCAAACGAAATACTCAAGGCAAAAAAGTAAAAGAAGCTGAATTCCTACCAACGAATAAACAGAGCACAGCAGTTCTTCTTTAGACAGACGGCCAACAACTGCAACAAGAGGTCCAGGCTTCCCTTTTCTCACTCTCTCTCTCTTTCTGTGTCTCTTTTGGCTGATTGGTTGTATTTTGTAGCCGCAATTCCAGTAAGCCTCGTTTTGGGCCCACCCGTTAGAATAAGCCAATCAGAAAGCAGCGATGAGGAGGAACTTCTGAGGTTTCGTCTGAGTTTTCAGAGGGAATATATCAGACAGGAGGTGTTTCCTTTGTACACGCAGTCTTGCCAAACAGTTTTTCCTTTAGCTCACTTACACAATCAGACACGTCAGAGCTAAGAACTTTTACAGACATTAAAGAACACATAGTTCAGTAAGTCAAACACTCCCTCTGTTGATTCACATTTATTGTGTGAAGGAAAAACATTACATGGACATGTGAATAACGACTTTAGGGTCATTGGTCATGGGCCAGACAGCTGCCAACAGAACAGGTCTGACAAGAACATGTGCACAAGTGTAGGGTTTCACAAATGTCGTCCATATAACAAACATCATGGAGCTCCATGTGCGTTTCAAACACTTGTCTTCAATGAATTGTTGACTCCGAAATGAAGCACACCTTCATTTGACTTACCTTCAGGACAACCTAAGTGAATTCCTCTTTCAGGGGTTCTATTAAAAATACCCTCTCCTTTCAAGGGCAATAAATAATGCATGAGTTCTGGAAAAAAAGTTATCCTACAACTATTGTGGGTTAATGAATGTCTTCTGAAACTAAAATAAAAAATATCCATTTAAAAACCTCAATAGCTGCAGCTGTTCACGAAGAAATCATACATTCATTTTCTTTTCGGTGTAGTCCCTTTATTAATCTGCGGTCACCACAGTAGAATGAACCACCAACTTAACCAGCATATGTTTTATGCAGCGTATGCCCTTCCAGCTGCAACCCATCTCTGGGAAACATTCATGCACACTCATACACTAGTACGGACAATTTAGCCCACCCAATTCACCTGTACCGCATGTCTTTAGACTGTGGGGGAAACCGGAGCACCCGGAGGAAACCCACACACACTCAGGGAGAACATGCAAACTCCACACAGAAAGGCCAACTGACCCAGCCGAGGCACGAACCAGTGACTAAGCCGAAAAGAAAATGAATAAATGAATCTTCAGTTTTTTAGATAGGTACAAGTGAAACATTTTAAGATGGATACTAATACAGAATCTACAGTGTGTTAAAGGAATTCACTTTTGTTTGTAACACTCCAAGAACAGGTCATACATTCCCAGCTGCCTCTATGCCTATGCCATACATCTTAACTCGACTCTCGACTTGTTGCTGGGGCCAAGATTATGGTTTATCAAGTTTTAAATATGTCTTTTTTTTTCTTACAAACTCATCAATTTACTTTTGAAGGAATTATTTACTTAAGTTTTTTTGGAGCATATAAAACTCAGGCACCATTCCAAAGCACTAGAAAGAGCATATCAACAATAAAATGCAATACAACTAGAATACCATGAGAGGGAGTAAAGAGGATGATTCTCATTTTTATTGAGAGCAGCACGTTTGCGCAATGGGTAGTGCTGTCATCTCACAGCAAGAAGGTCGCTAGTTCGAGCCTTGGCTTGGTCAGTTGTGTGGAGCTTGCATGTTCTCCCTGTGCTCGCGTGAGTTTCCTCCGGTTTTTCTCACAGTGCAAAGACATGCGCTATAGGTGAATTGGGTAAGCTAAAGTGTCTGTAGTGTATGGTGGTTTCCCAGTGATGGGTTGCATCCACTACGTAAAACATATGCTGGATAAGGTGGCAGTTCATTCCGCTGTGGCAACCCCTGATTAATAAAGGAACTAAGCTCTAAGTTCTACTAGCTGTTGGCTTGCTATCAGGACAGCTAAACGCATCATTCACAGCTGGTTTTCTTTCCAAGTAAATGGTTATGGCCACTAATAGACAATATTATCACACAAGTCTTTTAAAGAAGTATTGAGGGTAAACAGAAGAGAACTGGCTCCTTTTTTTGGCCTCGGTTCCACACTTGGTATATTAAGGGAGTTTTTCTGTGAACCTGTTGCCCGTTACTTGCTCATTGGGGGCATGTCGCTTTGTATGATTGCTTTGACACAATCACTATTGTTAAACGTCCTAAATAAATAAAACTGGCTTGAATGGAGAGTATACAGCATGCTGGAAATGACAGCTCAAATTACAGACAGGAGAATAATTGAAAGCCCTTGTGAAGGAATGCATGTCAGGTTGGACGCAGTTCAATTTCTCAAGCCAGCTCTGCTTTTATGAAAGGAGAGGACAGAAACAACATTCTATAACCTAAAGCAACAAAAGAGCACACATGAATGGCTTTTAATTAATGTCATATTCAGGACAAAAATGGTACGTGGTCATTCAAAGCAAAATTATGGTCACAAAAATTACACAGTAAAAGTAAAGCACATGTAAATAAAGCACATGTAAGTAAAGTAGCAGTTTTTTAATTCCATTTATTGGTACTATTTCCAATTAAACTAATTAACGGCAGAACAGAAGGACAACATTTTAAAAGGAAGCACACATATTTACTAAAGAGGAAACAAAAAAGTTCTTAAAAGTGGCCGAAATACAATTCCAACACAGGAAATCTTTTATTTAACATATTTCTCCATGAATTTCTTGTGGAATTCAGAGCGCAGGGTGTCGTTAACAAAGCGCTTCTCTTTTCGAGATTCATCCACTCCTTTAGCACAGTTCTTAAACACAACGTCATCATCCCACCTGCCAAACATAAAAAATGTGAATGTTTACATGTTACTAAAAGAAGTCCATTTAAGCAGGGGGGGAAGCAGTTCTAGGACTTTGGATACTTAGATTATAACTGCACTTTACTTTAAAACGATCATATCAAGCTATTCTTCAGTGCTGAACCATAAAGTCACACTAAAAAAAGGAGTTATTTTTTTATACCAGTAAGCAGTTTCTGAACTCCTTCAAACATTTCACTTCTAAGCCTTATAACATAATGGACATAAGCAACATTACATGAACTAGTATTTTGTGTGTTTTTAACAAAACTGTGTGTAGTTGACAGTGAAGAGAAAAGAACAATGTAAAAGTTTAAAATCAGGAGTTCAAACTGACAAGGCTGGACTGACACATTCATTTTTTTTTTTCTTTGTATATGAGATTTAAGACTTATGCAGGATTCTGATCTGAATTGTCAGCATCAGAGTTGACTGATTATTGAGATTATTTGCTACCGTTTTTCAGTGATGTATGACAGGTGAAAACCTGATCTACCTGTTTACACAAAATGCAAATACATGCATCGGATTCGCAAAGAATTTATTTTCACACATGAAACTGAAACCGATCAGAGTACAGTGGTCCATCGTTATTAGCAGGAGTTATGTTAAAAAAATAACCTGCAAAATCCGCAAAGTAGTTTGCTTTATTTATTACAATTATTATAGATGTTTTAAGGCTGTAAAAGCCCTCACCTACACACTTCATACACTTTTCTCTCATTTTAAAGTGCGATATGCAAGTTTGACACACAGTGGTTGAACTAGGTATTACATTCCTATATTAAAACAAAGGCAAGCGCAGGTTGCCAGACTGACCAACAGGAGCAAGTCTAACCATCGAGTCTATATGTTCTAAATAAAAGCAACGGCCCATGATGGAAGAAATATGTTTCATATTAAAAGAAAGCTTTTGTCCTAAGCAACACCTCGAACTGATATATTTCGAACTGCTTCTATTTCTCACAAGTAAACAACAGAAAACTGACAATGATCACCTCAGGAAAACCTCATGTGCTTTATTCAGTGTCAAATGCTAATAATGCGAGTTTGAATGCCATTTCACATGACATTTATTGCCATACTACTGAAAGCAGCAGCAGGTAGTTCACCTCAGATCCTAAAAATAAAATAAACTGTTTGCAATTGAACTTTATAACTGTGACTTAAAATCAATAAATAACAGCATGTACATTTAATAATGTTAAAGAGGTTTAATATGTATAATTCGATTATAAACCTTACCATTTTATAAGTGAGTGCACATTTTTCTGAATGGCGGTTTAAATTTCTGTTGTGTTTGGCCTGGCGAATTTGTCAGCCAAATTGCTCATCACTGCAAATCTCATTATCTAGAATGTTTTGACACTGGGTTACAATGTAGCCTGCTCACCTAATGTTCATGCTTGTAATATTTATATTATTTTTATTGGCACCTCATGTGGAACTCTGAATCTGCGTCTTATTTCAGAGTCTGCTGCAGTCCACCAGGAGTCGCATTTTGGTTACGTACACATGCTTTGAGAGCCTTTCTGAATAAATGAATGAAATACGTGGTTTTCCACAAAGGCACCCTGTGCTACTGAAATAAAATTTGAAAGTTAAAAGAACCAAAACAAAGACAACCGTTCCAGCACGTAACAGTGATTTCTAAAGCAGAATATCTTATTTTAGCATTGTTTTTCAGATAAATATGTATGTTCACTTAGCATGTTTCTGAAATATCTGCACAAACATATTATGGTATATTTATGCTTTAGAAGAGTCAAAAACACACATACAGCACCTTTAAACACTCTCAAAATTCAAACCTTCATAGAAAATAGGTCCAGTATTGTAGAATGAAACCAAAGACCTTTGTTAACCAAAGATTTATGTTAATTTTGCAAGCTGATTGTATTGTGTACTGTACTGGAAAGACAGCGGAGATTGATTGACAATTGTTTACAGCAGGGGTGTCAATGTCATTTTAGATCAGGGGCCGCATGGAGTAAAATATGTTCTCAAGTGGGGCCCCCCTTTGAGGGGGGTGGGGGGATTTTCCACTGGTTAATCGATTGCGAATGTTTAGTTTTCTTGGACTTTACAAAAAACAAAATACAAATACAAAAAAAGGTATGAGGTCTTTCTCTCTAAGATGGCTGTCAAATTGACGCCGACTCAGGCTTCTGGATGGGATGAAATGAAGTTTGCTATTGATCCGGCCGGGGGCCGTCTGTTAGACACCCCTGGTTTACAGCCAATCAGGACACAGAACACAATGTGCTGTAAAAAAATTAATTAATTAAATAAGCATGTCAAATTGCACTAAAAAAATCTGCGAAGGCCAGGAAAGGTGAATCATGTTATAGCAATTAGTGAGGGACCACTGTTTCAAATAATTTGTCCTGCTTGTATGTGGCCCTTATCTGATCTGTGCCATATGAGAAGAAAAATAAATATCTTAATTTTGTTTTCTGCGGATAGACTGAAACATGAGATGTCTTACTGATTCTTTATATTTGATACTGTAACTCTCAGACTAATATGCATAAATAAAACAGTCAACCTAAAAATAAAAATTAGAATTGGGTTACTTGCAGCATAT